ACTTTTTCAAATCATTACTGAGGGAGACCTTAAGTAATCATTAAACGGCTCTGAGTGCGGCTGTAAGAGACTTAAAAAAAAAACAAAGAAAATGTCGGCTTTAAAGAATAGGAAAACAGTAGAATGAAAACCCACGAGTGCGAAAGAACATGTTTCACATAGCAGCGAAATGAATCATAAATTGCTTGATCTCTGCAAGATCACAGCATATAAGACAATAAAGTGCAAGTAAGCAAAAAAACATTAGAGACTATGCAAGAGCCAGGGATATAGTGAAATATGTGCAACCACTTTACCCAAGATTTTTTAAACGTTGAAAAGGTAAATTAAAAGCGACTATGAGCGCTTTCCCAAAATTTGCTTGCACCACATTCATTTCAGTTTTGTACAACGGATTAGGGAAATATTTTTCATTTGGGACCAATAAAAGGACACTTGAATATAACCCTGAACTGTTTATCATCTAAATGGCTGAAAAACTAATAACTCAAATTGGCGCAATAAAGTCCCAAAATAATATTTTTAAAAAAGCCCTCCGCACTATGTCTTAAAACTTAAACGGGCCAATCGTTGTGGACATGAATCTTTTCTATAAAAATTTTTCTTGCAAATTTCAACAATGTCTATGTGAGTGGAAAAACAATATTTGTTGCATTCGAAAGTATAGCTGTTTCTTTTTACTGCATTAGTTCGTATTTCATTCCACATACGTTATCTCTATTGTATGTCCACATAGAACATATGTATATGTATTACTTTTCATATCAATTCAAGTGTATTACATAGGGTCGCCAGATTCTGAAACGGAAAGGAAAGAAAGGAGTACATTTATATTTTCGATAGAAAAAAAGCAGTACAGAACTTAAAAAAGGAGTACAATTTTTGTTTTAATTTTTTTGTGCAATTTATTGTTACAAATTACCATTATTTAGGTACAAACAAACACGGATATCATATAAATCTTTTCCAAAATGTTAAAAATAAATAACTAAATACTACGAAAGAATTCCAGGAAACTCCTGAATGTATGGCAATTTTTTTATTTTATAATTTAAAATTTTTCTGATTTTTATACCCGAGCGCCCTGCACCTACCTGCCTACGATCATGCTTACACCTTTTCACTATCACACTTAACTTTACTTACTAAGTAGTGTTTGCCACAATATGAATGGCAAAGTCCAGGGCGTAAAATAATAACTGTCGCAAAGATTTTTCGAAAAATAAAAGTGTCCTTTAAAGACGTTGCGAAAAAAAGTATTTTTTGCAAACTTTATAAATAGTTTACTTTAATTTTATTAATTAGTTTTAAAACTTGAATCCTTATTTCTATTTGCCAGCTTTGGGAGATAAGTACATGCTTTTTTCAAATGTATTTTTTCTTAGATTTTGTATAAAAAAAAAAGAAAACTGTATAGGTATAGGGTTGGTCGAATGAATGGCCTCCTTGTCACCAGTTCCGAGTCTTTTCGATTGATGAGTATGAGGCCTTATGTTGGACAAAAGACGGAGTATAAGGAGCCAAATGGAGGAAATTAGCAAATGGTTACAGAAGATATCGTCCCTACACACGAATAAAGGCGCGCTAGTGTTTTGACGGCGAAAAAAGGCGTGTAAAAAAATTTTGCGAAAAAAGATGCTTATGAAAAACTTCGGCCAAGTATGTTAAGAGTCTTTGACGCTGAATTTTTTTATGCGTATTTTTTCTCCGTCATTTTTTGAGCTCGCGCCTATATTCGTGTCTAGTGACGATATGTAATAAAGTAACCGACGAAGACTTGCGTGCCGCTTGAGCTTTTCTCTCAAAGTGTTTACCGCTGGTAAACGCAAATGAAGGTTAAAATTTAAAAACTTATTAATAAAATTTAAGTAAAATCTGTGGATAATTAACAATAAACTACTTTTTTCGCAAAATCTATAAAGTTCCCTTTTATTTTTCAATAAAACCTGCGCAACAGTTATTATTTTACGCCCTGTATATGATAAAATATTAATAGCTGGAAAAAGGAGTACAAAAGAAGTACAAAACTAAGAAAGGAGTACATTTCCAGATATTTTTTTTGGGAGCACAAGGGAGTACATTACAATAAAAAGGAGTACGTTTACTCCCAAAAGCAGTACGTCTGAAAACTCTAGTATTACATGAGCCCAACGTTTCTCATTTTCAATCTCATACATTTTTATACCTTTCATGAGCATGAAATGGTATTATAACGTTGGTCCGACTTTTGTAAGTACCAGAATAAGAAGAGATACACCCATTAAAATGTATACTTAAATGATCAGAGTGTCGAGCTGAGTCGATTTAGCCATGTCGTCTGTCCGTCTGTCTGTCTGTCTGTCTGTCCGTCTGTTTGTATGTAATCTAGTCTCTCTGTTTTCGAGATATCCGGATGAAATTTGGTAGGTGGATGTATTTTTATAATGTATTAATCATTTGTCGGAACCGGAAGAATCGGACCACTATAACATATAGCTCCCATCAGGGGCGCACCCAGGAACATATTTTAGGGGGGGTTTTATTCTGAAAATATATCACCGGAAAATACTGAAAATTTGCTTCAGATAATACCCTCTTTAAAATACATTTATGCAAGTTTTATGTAAATGTAAATGTAAATAAAGAAACGTTTTAAAATTCATAAACTGCACTTTATTTACAGATTAACAGAACTCAAACGCTTTTAACCGACTTCAAAAAAAGGGAGGTTATCATCTCGCCGGAATACATAACTTTGGACCACGTGAACCGTTTTCAATAATCCTTTTTTTATTAGAAAGATAGTACCGTCCCGTAATAGTCGTCGAAAGTCGTCCCGTAATTTGTTTTAGAGATCCGATGATTGGATCATGAAGAAATTAACGGTACCCCTAAATTTGAATATGAGAATTG